CGTGCTTAGAAATTTGCATCCAAAATGAGTTCCAATTAGACTTTTTGCTTTGATTTCGCTTTTGTAATTTCAATTTCAAAGTACAAGGGCTCTATTACCTTAACCTCCCAGACCAGCACATTACTCGAGATGACTTAATTATTTGCATAAATCAAAGTTTTTCAGCTAATAGATCGCTGAAGCCACAAAGGCAACAACAGCACATTAATGTTGAAAGGCACTCAAAAGTTTTTGATGGGTCTAATGCGTGCCCGTCGAACAGGCTGTGTGTAATGAGGCTGCTGCGATTTAATGAAAACTTTGGTTTGGCCCTAAGAACCATTTGAACACAAATAATTTGTCATTTGGGAAACTCGTATATTGCATAAATATGTTGTTAATATGTACTCGTATATTCCTGGAATACTCAGTCTCATTTCATTCCTGTATACCTCATACCGAGGGGTTGAAATGCTTTTAAACCGACTTCAAAAAAGAAGGAGGTTATCAATTCTTCTGTATTTTTGTTTGTTTTATGTGTATTCGACTGGGTGGACCGATGTTGTTGATTCTTTTTCTATTTCCAAGCTGGTGCTTCCCGAATGGTCCCATTTCAAGTTAGCCCAGTTCTGACAATGGGATCCATGAGTAGCTGAAAATGCTATTCCTGAACAGGATGCTTATCTGCTTATCTTAGTTATTCACTGCATTAGACCTGAAGTCGGTTTTATTTGTTAAAATTCCAGTCTACATTTTTATGAATTGAAAAGATTGTTGAACAACTTTGAATAGGCACATAATTACTGTTCACAATATGTATTTCTATATTGCAAGCAGTATCGCCTGATTTTGTCACCCAAAGCCATCTATAGGATCGCCAGGGATGTCATTGTCACATTCACAGTCCCAGTCCCAGTCCCAGTGACGCCAACTAGCTCTGCCACGCTCAGCGACTGGGGTAAAACGAGGACTCGTTTGGCCGATTGGCAATTTAGTTATTAGTCACGCTGTTTGCGCTTCATTAATGTTCATAGCACACAAATGAACCCACATCGATTGATATTTCGGTCGTGCCATTAGCGGCAGTGGCAGTCGCGGCGTAAAGTGAATGTAATTTTTGTGTTGTGGTTGACGTTTTTATGGTGGTGCAGTAAATGCGTTTTTTATACCCTGTACCAAAGGGTAAAAAGTTTATTACAAAGTTTATTACAAATTTGTGCGCCAATGTGTGTAACCGGAAGAAGGGGTCTGCCATGTGACCGCACGTTATAATTACATATTTGATCAACATGACGAGATGAATGGACATACGAGTACACATGTCCATCCATATGAGCACCGATAACTTTTTAAACATAACTGGTACTAGGGTCACCAAACCCAAGCATGTGGAGCAGTAATCATTTCTATAATTAAGAAGTGTACAGTTTCTAGAGCGGCTTAAGCCCGATTGAGAACCTCTGGAGAACCCTGCCAAAGCTTATAAGAATGGCAGACAGATTGACACAATCAAACGGCTTAAAATGTTTTGATTGCAAACTGCGAGCAATTCAGTCAATTAACTCTAGAAGAATTGGCGAACTTATCGGGAAATGAAGAGCATATTAACCGTGAAAATAATCTTAAAGTCAAAAATGCACACAAGAATAAAATAAAAATGTGACTTATTCGTTTTGTTTATAATACTATTATTTTTAGAAAACTATGCTCATTCGTGCATACCTTTTTCCCTGAGATATAAAGTCATTATTGTAAATATCTTAGGAACAATCAGTGAATAAATCACAACTTATTCATTACAATATCGCAACCAAATTTTGTATTCAATCATTTTTAATAGTGCCTCGCAGTAATCAAAAGTTCAATTGAAATTGGAGCATTATACTTGTATAGTACAGCTGCCGCAGACATGATTGATGCTTAGCTATAGGATATACAAAAGTCGGGCTGAAGAGAGATTAATGTTCTCCACTCTTTTTTTTTTTTTGCATATGGTTGTGTTGTTTTGGGGTAAAAGGGTTGCGCGTCTTGCAAAGTAAATAAATTAAATTATAAAAATAAACCTTTATTTTTAGAGCTTGTGATACGCAGGGGCTTCACATGAACTCCCCGCTAATGCGTCACATATGTTCAGCCCTTTGGCGTTGCAAACCGATTTGGCCAATAAAAAATTGTTGTGACTATAAAGAAGAAAGTTTATTGACGCAGGATGCTTACGCTTAATTAAACTCTAGGAACTTCAAAGGCTACATCAATAGATACATCGACTGGGCATTAGCATCGGCTGATTGACTAACTCCGCATTGCTAGCTCTGGCTCTGACTAATGCCTATCTGCGTAGCACCCCTGTTCAGTTCATGCCATGAACTTCATGACCTGATATAAACCCATCGGGTACAGGGTAGCACAAGTAATTGTAATTTAATTAGTCGAAACTTTCTTCAGCAGATTTCAATTTCCGAATCGGTTTAAAATATGCTCCGATTACTGTAATACATATTATATGCTTGGTCTATATCTATATTTGTTATTATTGTCCAACTCTTTTTTCACTAAAAGACAAAGTCCAAATACTAAACACGCGAATAGGCTAACATCCGAAACGCCTCTGAGAATGATTATCAGAATAGCGAAGATATAAAGACGTGAAAACTTATCCAAACTATGTTGAATATGTTTGATAGGGATATATAACAAGTCCCAAAATAAAAGCTGCTCTATTGCGAACTAATTTTTCTAGGTGACTTAGTCCCTGAAGTTGAAACAGCCTGTCGGCTTTGAATCAGAGCAGACGAAGCCACCCAACCGCAGGGTTGTTCAATTCTCAAACTAGAGGCAAATCTAATTAATCTGCTAGACAACGAATAAACTACCCCTCATCAGCACCAACATGCGAATCAGTTCCGACAAACGCGTGAAAGCCCTAGAAAGACCGCTTAAATAAAACAATAACGAAATGTATCCACACATATACTCTTGAGCAATATTTTTGCTGGCGGCGGAAAGACTAGTAAACTATATCTCAATACTTGTATACAAGTATGTGCATACTTATGTATATATAATATGTGGTTTGGTGGTGGTGGTCGTGTATGTGGTGTCACCAACATTGCATGTGTGCGGGCCCCGTTATTTGGGCTTGTGCTTTGTGCCACACGCCACTTGTTTGTTTAAGTTAACCGAAAGTTTTCTTTAAGATTTACGCTTAAGTTTTACGTGATAAAACTTTTATCACAATGACTTTTTCTGTTGCTTGTGCCGAGCGTAGTATTGATGGGATACAGCGGAATCTACGCCACTCTTAACTCTTAACACCTTTCTTGCTGAGGAATACCCCTTGATAGTATTCCATTTTTCGGTTGTCTCTAAAAATATCTTCTTATTTCGCTCTGATTAAATGATATTGAATTTTGTTGGCATTTTTGTATCACAACTAATATGATGAGAATAATTATTCGCAATAAAATGAAAAAAGTAAATTTAACTTAAATTAATTTATGACTCTTTCTGGTGCTTGTGCCGAGCGTAGTATTGATGGGATACAGAGGAATCTTTGCCACTCTTAACACTTTTCGTGCTGAGGAATATCCCTTGATAGTGTTCCATTTTGCAGTTGTCCTTAAGAATCTCTTCCTTTTTCGCTGTGATTCAATTACATAAAATTTTGTTCGCATTTTTGTCTCACAACTAACATGACGAGAATCAATTATTTCCAATAAAATAATAATAGTTAATTTAGTTTAATCTAATTTAATTTAATTCTTACTTCACTCTTTACTGGAAAGGTGCTAAGCAATTGCTAGTATTGCATTTTTAAATTATCCTTTAACAAATACCCGTTATAAAATGCGAATAGTTAATTTAGCTTAATTAAGTTTATGGTTTCGTTATGCCCGTTAAATCTTTTTACTGGGATTAGTCAGATGCCCATGTCGGCCTTCTGTGCTCGACTTGCTGCTACTATATACTTTTAATAAATTTGCCATTAAACTACTTAATCGAGTAGTATTTATTTATATATTAAAAGAAATGGAATAAAATTTGTAGGCAACCAAAGAGCCGAGTTGATGAATGACATTTAAAAACAAAACAAACAAACAAAATAAAATAGTGCTAAAATTTAAAAAAAGTAAAAATGAATTGATTGATTTGATTTGATAAAGTGCCCGGGTTTTTCAACCTTTGCAGTGTTTGTATATTACGGGTTTGGACAGCTAACGAATGATATGTGCTCGTAAATGAAATATAATTGTTATTCCCCACTGCCTGAATGCTGACAGCATAAACAATATTTGCCAAATATTGTTCATTTGCCGAACAATTTTGCACAAAAATAAAGTATTGTTGGCAATTGGATGAAATTATGTTAAACATTGCTCAGAACGATTTAAAATGTAATAAAAACCGGAAATACCACTATTTTTAACGATACAATTAGGTTGTTTATAACGTGGCAATAAGGTCAAATATGTGATAGGTAGTAGCATGTAATCGTAGTTGTATATGATCGGATCAGCTGATGCAGCTTTTATGATCAGTTTCCTGCATTTGTTTTTAATGTTGAATAAGGAAAACGCCTCATGTTTAATACGAGTACTTAAAACTAATAAAGCATTGCTGAGTTGCCACTGGATTGATCGGTTGTTAGTTTGTCAATTACTTATAGTATATAAAGAAAGGATTTGAAAACAAAACAAACTATCAGCTATCAGTAACACCTTAGCCCCCTTTGGCTCCACCTCTGCATCTTGGCGCAAAACTGCAAATCCTTTGTGTTAATATTTGCTTAAGGAACTTGCGCTACCCCGGCCATAGGTATTGATGCTGCGTTCGAAGGGGATTCGGGTGCCTACGTGGCCGCCTGCCAAAAATCAATTCTGTTTTTGATGGCAGCACTTATATTATGAGGACAAGCAGAAAACTTTTTATTAACATAAATTATGAGCCACAGACGCTAGTGCATAAATTTCACTTGGAAAACTTTGCCTATATATCTATTAACGTACGTCGGCAGTACTTACCGTTATGGCGATGTCATGCGTGCCATCGCATGTGTCCAACTTCCGGCGGAAGCGCAGGACCGTGTGCGTGGCATTTTCGTAGCCCAGCATGAGCATGTAATCCTGTGACGGATCCACAACAGGCTCTACATCGCCGTTTCTTGTGACATGGCGATCCTGCAAGGCAAGAGAGGAGATAAGGCATAAGTCAGGAGCGTAGTAGAAAGAGCGTTCATTAATGAGTGAAAAATGTACGAAAATATTTAATTTGCAGCATACTTTGAACATTTTTTTGCTGCTTCTTCTTCAACTTTGACTTTTACACGATTTTCATCGTTGCGGCATATTTTCATGTCATTAAATGGCGCGTGTATGCGTGCCTTTTGTAAAGCAGGCAGCAACCACAGGCTTTCGAAGCAAACTGACTCGACGCTCAACTTGTATGGAAATTTTTGTGCACATCCCCAAAAGGCAAAAACACCAACTTTCACTGTGGCTGAGCTTGTATGTGTTTGCATGTGTTATTTTTCATCTTCCTTTTGGCTCTTGTCGGGTTTTTGTGAAATAATTTAAATTTCAAAAAGTTCGCTAGTCTCGGGCTCAGTGTTTTGACAGAGTTTCCAAGTTAAAGGTCTCTGAGTAGTTTCGGGCCAACCCTTTTTGCCAAGAAAACTCGACTTACCCCCCCCCCCCCCCAACAAAAAAAAAAAACAAAAAATGTTCTTACTTCTCCAATTCGTTGGTGCCCATTTGGGCCAGCTTCGCCTCATATGGGGCTGATGTTCATGTGTGTGCGTGAACATTTGTATAGAGATATTTTCACAATAAATTTCCCTTCCCCATACCCATTCTATTGAGCAACATCCCCTTGGCGGGCGATAAACATGTTGTTGTTTCTGCTCATGCTTGTTTTTGTGCATATTGGCAGTTGACTCCAAATGGGAGTTTAGTTTGCCATATTACATCGACTTTTTGGGGACGAGTTTGCTCATTCATGTACCTATTACCTATACCATTACTTGTACTATATGGTTGACATTTTCATGATGGTTCCTTAACTTATCGTGGTGGAACTTTTAAGTAGCTCTCCATTTACATCTTTCAATGTTTTTTAACTAATTAATTGTTGTACTACAAATACAGAAAAAGTACTAAAAATGTCCGGGGGCGGGCTCGATAAATGTAAATGTGGTATCAAAATCATCAAAATTATTTGAAACATTCGAATATCAACGTAGACCTAGTGGCATATCAAGACCGATTCAGCTTGCGAGCATCGTAGGAAAAAATTGTACATGAGAGAGCTGTGAACTGTGGAACATAAGGAAAGGCAAACAATCAAATGCAAACATTTTGATAACTTTTAAGCGTCTGTTTCTGATTTTGAAAATCTATGTAAGTAAGAGGCTGAAAGAAGAATTTGTGAACCCAAACTTTTTTCCAACATAACCCGGCAAATCCATCTACACATGTCCGTCGTTCGCATGGACGAACCCATATTGATCAAACTTCTCCTAGTCCCTATGCAGCAATTCGGCAATACCGAAGATACATAAACTAACATTTTCTCATGTAAATAATATGTGATTCCATTTTAAATGTATTATTCTGATGTTTAGTTGAGGTTTTAGGAATCTCAGTAGTAAGCTACTAAGCTGCTGGCAATTGCTTGATAATTCTAAAGCCGCTCATTGAATACATTTCAATACAATTCCTTTAGCACATTCTAAGGATATTCCAAGACGATTCTTACGGCATATGCTAAGGAACTTCATTCTTTAAATGTACTTGAGCCTAATAAATTTAATTTACAACTGGGTTTTCGGCTTACAACAGCAATGCCAATTTTTCGAGTACGTCTGATAGACATTTCGTTGTCTCTTTGAAAAGTGTTAAGATTAATTATGCATATGAAATCATACAGTATTCCAGCGACTTATTTTTCAGTCGTTCTGACTGACTTGCTTACTGCTGGCTCATCTCCTCTCTGCACATTTGATCATCTAAATTTTGGATTTCTGCTAAAAGTTCAGTTTCCGTTCTCAGCTTGTACCTTCACAAACGAGACATTATCGTCATTATAGACAAAACTTTTGGACAGACGCTCACCTAATGCCTATTCGTGATTAGGTATCATCTAATTAGAAGGAATTTTCCACACCTGAGGCTGTTGCAATTAATTCCCACCAATTTATTACAGCCATTTGTTTTTGTTTTTGACCCTGTCGTGTATTGCGTGCTCCACATTACAGCATCGTTTCATAAATCATATCAGTGCGCCATTTCCGAGCTAATTAAAAGTTCAGCAAAAACATAACGCACAGCAGAAATGTGTGCAGAATTTCAAAAACATTTACCATAAATTCACCGGCATGGCAACACAATTCGTAAAAATTCTTTTTCGCTGCAATCTATGAGCGCATAATTCAAGATCGCGCACGCACACAGTTCCACTTCCGTCGCTGTTTTGCAAAGCTTCCCTTTTAATTTGGCATTATCTACCTCGGCACACACACTGGCGCATAGAAATGGGGGCACACACCCACAGATGACATGCTTGACGCTTATCGCAACCCAAAAAGTCGCATACTCCTATACGAGTAGAACGAGTACATCGCGCCATTTGCCTTCGGAATGACGGAAATTAAAAATACGGGTTGCAATGTTGCAAGCACCCAGCCACGTTATCAAAATCTGGGCTTTGTTGTTGTTGTTGTTGTTGATGCTGCTGTTGTTGCTGCTGGGTAGGTAATTATGCAGAAGGAAGGCGAATAAATTTGCAATATTCACAGTGAAATGTTTCAAATGCCAACAAAAACGCTCACAACTTTTTATGTCTGCGACGAAGACGTCAACGAGGAGGAAACGTTGACTATTCACGCTGCAGCTACGACACAGTTGGTATTGTTGTTGTTGTTGGTGCCGCCTCTGTCGACATCAACGTACACGTTTTTTTAATTGCTGAAATTTTATCACACCTTCATGGTTCGCAGGACTCGTAAATTGTAATCCTTGCGCACGCTTTCTTTTTCTCCCTGGCGCTCGTTTACCTTCATTTTTCCGCTTCTCCTTGAGCTACAACATTGAGTCTGTGCCCTCAACTTCGTTCTTGTCATTAACGTCGCTGCCTCTTAAGTATTTAATAGCCTTGTCAAGACTTTAATACCCGTTAGCTATGTTTCTAACAAGAGCGCCTACGTAAGCCAGTGTGTGTGTGTGTGTAGGTATGCGTGTGAGCATTAAAGTGTGTGTGTGTATGTGAAAATCAATAAAAACAGCGGAAAATTAAGCACCTTGTGGTAAAAAGCCCGAACGAGAACTTAATAGGATTATGCAACATCGTCACTCGAGGTTGACAGCAAAACAAATTTATGCAAAGCACTCACCGCTTTCTCTCTGTCATTGCACATTGTGCAATTGCAAGAAAGGTGAGCAAAGGCACAAGACAACCCCACAACCTTACCTGTAGAGCATTAATGTACATCTAACTGTACTCAGTACTCAGTTTCTATGTTGCATGACGTTGATGAAAACTTTTGCACACACACCATCAGTCCATCTGATGAAGACAAGTTCTGTTGTTGTTTCGCCAAAACAAACTTTACCAATTTATGATAATTCAACGTCAGCTGGGACAGTTCAGCTGATTTCAGATTTGGGGCCAGTACATCAACTCAAGAAGTATACAGAAGACGGTTGAAATATGCCCCGCACATAACCGACTACCAATCAAGCTCAGGCTTAACTGCTTGAAGCTGGCTGCTGTTGCAAGTGTAAGCAATCTGTGCCGCAGTCAGTGTGGCAGTCAGCGGGTAGGGTGGGTGCAGGGGCAGCCAACCATCAGGAACAGCAACATCTGACAACCGGCTAGCGAAAAGCTCAAGTAGCAAGCCCTAAAATATGCTCACAGCACACATTAAACTTATTACCCCAACACCCACCCCACCACCAAATTGTGTATGAGTGCTCCGCTTTATAAGTAGCATACACCAAAAGGGTTGGTTGCCACATAGTACATACATAGTTCAAAATATCAAAATGTGAGCTATCTGTCTATATGCTCGCATATAAGTATTTGTCTAAACTTGCTTAAGTGTGCGTGTTCAGTGAGTGGAATCGAAAGTTTGTGGCATTGATTTGATGAATCCTTTACTTAGTATAGTATTTTTGTAAATAGCCCAGTTGATTTATTTGATGAAATAGTAAATATGTATTATACCTAGTGTAGATAATTTACATAGTTTCTAAATGAAATTGTTATAGTTGTATGTAGTTTTTTGTGGTTGTGGTGCCTTGTACTAAAAACTTAATTTCGCAAAATCCATCTGTGTAGTAAACCATAGTCTTCATTCGGACCCCATAACTGACGCAAACTATTCTACAAATAAATGTCTATTTTATCATATCGTTTCTATGATAGTTAGATGTTATATAAAGTTCCAACATATGCTGATTATGCAGCATTTATAGCAAAAAGTATTATGGTTTACATAAATATCGCTGCACCTACAAGAACAACTTACTATGGGCGAAAAATGGTTAAAGAATGAAGGACAGAAGTTTTCATTAAAACGGAGAATCGACAGACAATGAAACGGTTAAGTACCTTGGGATAATTTTGCACAGGAGGAGGAAAGGACTTGGAAGACTAACATAATAGTGAAATGGAAGCAGCTTCTATAAAAAATCAAAAAGTTGTATTCGCTCTTAGGTCCACTTTCGAAACTCAGGCACGAAAACAAAATTCGGCTCTAAAAGGCAGTCCTGAAGACAGTGTGGATGCATGCTTTGCTGCTGTGGGGAGCAGAGAGTAATTTTAACATACAACTCATCCAAAGAATCCAGCTACATATGTCTCTAAGAAACATTGCAGGATCTCCTTCGTTTGGAAGAAGCGTTAATTGAAGCAGACATTCGGACAAATGGATGGACCGGCAGATGAACATGGCCACTTGGATACGTCTCGTCATGATGGCATTTATAAACTTAGAGCCCAACAACTTTTAGGCATGTGTTTTAGATCTGGTAAATGCTTGTTTGTATGAATTGTATAAAATATTAAAGAGTGCGTACACATTTAATACAGAACATATACATAGATGCTGTTAATGTTGGCAATCGATAAGTGTGAGGATCAACTATCTTCGTCTTGGGTTCCATCGCAATGCAGCAGGATT